CCCCTCTCTGCCTGCAACACAGAGCCCTCATCAGAGCCTTCCCCAGACTCCAGGACTGGCCCATCTTCCTCCCCAACCCTCCTCACTCTCTGAATCTGCTGCCAGTTCCGTTGGTAGACCACAACACTAAGATCCTACCTCCTTAGCACCTGGTGGGCAAGTCCTTCATTGTCAGAGGAAGGAATTTTATTTTGGCTACTGGCCAATGGCGGGCCACCACATTAACATGGCTAAAGCCTCAGCAAATCTTAAGAGTGTCCTCCGTATTCCAGAGTGTTGGGCGTACCATCAAAAGTTGTTAAATATGAAACCCTGTCGACAAAAGACACTCGAAGGTAGACAGAACGTGGTATTCCAGGGCCAAAGCAATCATATTATGGTTTAGCATAATACAACAAGCCAACCAGTGTTGGATACCACAGCCAATGTAAGACGGAGGCACAAACCAGAATATTTCCAAGCCCTCGACAATTGTGAGGAGAGGAACTCTTAAGCTCTTCGCTTTGTTCTTCACAACCTGTTCTGACAACTTGACCACATCTTCCTCCAGAACGCGAAGGGCCCCTCAAAGTAACAAACCACGTCTTAGCCCAGTGCTCTCCAAACCTGCGTAAAGTACCCCAAATTCAGTAAAAAATAGTAACGACACGCGAACTCATTGCGAACTCCTCACAACAGGGAGAGCTAAACGGACTTAAAGATTGCGCCGTGTTCTAAAATAGACTCGAAAATCTGCCAAATGATCCCCTACAAAGATGAAAATCGATGAAACTGCCAATTATAATTTGTCAAAATGACTCAAAGATGCTGTTTTTATCATTCAGGTATTCCTGAGGTTGCGGCCCTTCATTCAGCGACCGTCGGTATGAAGGTATGACGGTGTTGGAGGCAGGGACTTTAACAACCGCTCATCAAAGTTTGAGCAGACTTTGGTATAAGCAAGAGGTTTCGGCGACGAAGGGAAAAAAATAATTAAGCACTGGTTTTCTTTCTCCTTTTCTCCCCCTTCTGCCTTGAAGAAGACCAAAGAGGTGGATTTTGGCCCTTTGGGGGGGCCTCAAAATGGCATTACTTACCGCTGGAGGACATGGCTTTGCCGTTGGCTGGAGAAGCAGCTTCGTCAGAGGTGGTGATTGCTTGTAACCCATCCTTAGCCAAGCTACTCAAATACATGCTGCATGCACAATTAGCCCAGCAGGATATAATTAAGTGGGATGGAATTAAGCGTGAGTAACCAAGCCGCCACCTCAGAGGGTCACGCCAACAGGTGATCTATTAAACAATGCTCACCAAATGCTTGTAAATGTTATGCAGGGGCCGATCCCTGTTTTTGCAACGCCAGTGCGCGCGAGTGCATTAGCACAGAATGTGGTGTGTTGGTTGCTAGAGGCAAGGAGGCAAGCAGGCAGACAGACAGACAGACAGACAGAAGGTTGGGTCTGCCTGTAGATTTCACCAAGACCATCGATGCTTAGCCGACCACGTGACAAGTCACTCGCGCAATAGACGCCTCCGAACAAGTCTAGCTTTGTCTCCTTAGAAGAGGCTGGGGAATTCTGGGAGTCCACATGCCATCAAGTTTCGTAGGTTGAGAAAGACTCCAGCAGGGGTGAAATTCAACAGGTTCTGACCAGTTCTGGAGAACTGGTAGCGGAAATTTTGAGTAGTTCGGAGAACTGGTAAATACCACCTCTGGCT